AAATAGAACTACCATTTGATCCAGCAATCCCACTTCTGGGTATTTACCCAAAGGATAGGAGAACACTCAATCGGAAAAGTGCTTACGCATCAATGTTTATTGCAGCATTATTCACAATTGCCAAGACATGGAACCAACCTAAATGTCCCCAAACTGATGAATGGATTGGAAAAGTGTGGTATATATACTCTATGGAATACTATTCAGCCATAAAAAATAACAAAACCCTGGCATTTAATAGAAAGTGGTCAGATATGGAGGATCTATTGCTGAGTGAAGTAAGCCAGGCTATGAAAGAAAGATATTGTATGTCTCCACTTAAGATATACTGACTATCTGCACTCTGTGGTAGAGAGGGAAATATTGGAGGACATAAACATAAAAGCAATGAAAGTACTTAACAAGAATAAGACAGTGTGAAATGGGGGGTGGGTGAAGAGAAGAGGATAGAGAAAGATAGCAAGAGAATAAATAGAGAGGCGGGACGGTAGTGGGAAACAGATACGGCTTATTACCTGTTGATGATGACATGTATAGTATTCTCAACTGGATTGGTCTGAGAAGTATTTCATGATGGGTAAAGTCTTTTTACAAGCAAAATGAAAAATAGTGATTGTTTAAAAAAATATTTGGAATAACAATAATAATGATTGGAAAAAACAATGAAAAGATATTGAATGATGAAGTGGGGAGAATAATGTCTCTGCATTGACTGACATGCATGGCATTCCCTTTTGAAAAAGCAATGTAATACACTGTAAAGTTATATGCAATCCAATGTAATACAAACAAGATTAAGATGATAAAAAATAAATAAATAATTAAAAAAAAATCTTGGGACCAGCATATGGCGTAATAGCTATCTCGCTGGACTCATGTAGTCGACCGCGGTTCGAGTCCTAGACCTGGTGGCTTAAACTCACATTGGGTGCATGTGTGTGCGTGCCCAAGATCCCAAGAGGAAAATGGAGGAGAAGGGATTGCAACGTGGCCATTCCCCCTGGGGGATGCTTTCTTGCTGTCTCTCTGTCTCTTTCTGTCTTTCTGGTGAGTACACACGCTCTATAGCATAAACCTCTCAAAAAAAACCCCAATCTTAATATTTATGTAACTTTGATTTATCTTTATGCCTTTATCTTTTTAGACTTTGTTGTTTGCTTAATTTAAAGAAATAAAGATGATAAACCCTGGGCCAGAAGTTTGCAGTAAGTTTCATTTAAATGAGGTAATGCAGATTGAGCATTCCTAACCTGAAAATCAAAAATCTAAAACTTTTTCAGTGCTGACATGACACCACAAGTGGAAAAATTCACACCTGAGCTCATGTGATGGGGACAGTCAAAATGCTACAATACAAAGTATATAAAATGACCTTCAGATATGTGGATAAGGTGCATATGTTTCATATGTTTCAAATGTTTCAAATGTTTTATTTAGACTTGAGTCCTAGACCCAACATATCTCATTATGCATATGCAAATATTCCAAAATAGTCTAAGACCTGAAAAAGTCTGAAATCTGGCACACTTCCGGTCCCAAGTATTTCAGATAAGGGTGGTAAAGGCCTTGGCCCCTTCTTCAGAGACCATGCATGGGAGCTCATTTCCTTTTCCCTCCTACTATGAAGTTTTAAAATTTCTTACATTTGATTTTGAAATCCAGTATAAGAACACTTTAGTTCACATATTTATTTTTCTAATTATATTTTTTGGGTTTATGTAAAATTATAGTATTAGGCCAAGCCAATTTGAGGAGGTGGAGTCAGGGGTAGGTAGGATAGAGGAGGTAGGCCAGGAAAGAGGTGGCTTAGAATTGAACTTTTGTAAAGAGTTCCTTCATTTACTGGTATTGGGAACCAGCAGTTAGCGTAATGGCTATGTCGCTGGACTCCCGTAGTCCACCGCGGTTCACGTCCCGGACCTGGTGGCTTAAAACTCACGCTGGGCACGTGTGCGTGAGTGCCCAAGATCCCAAGAGGAGAATGGAGGAGAAGGGACTGCGGCGTGACCATCCCCCCGGGGGGTGATTTCTTGTTTTCTGTCTCTCTGTCTCTCTCTGTCTATCTGACGAGCACATATGCCCTATAGCAAAAAAACTTCTCCAAAAAAAAAAAAAAAAAAAAAAAAAGAGTTCCTTCATTTACTGGTATTTAGAGAAAATCTATCAACCACTGTGGTCAACAAGACCATTCTGTGAAACAGGACCTAAAGTTCCAGATGGGCTGCCCCTTCACAGACCTAGGCATCTAGGTTATGTCCAGCAAGAATCAGGAAGTTGGGAGACCCCTCTGCCCCCGCAAAATGCTCATAGCCTCACCACTGCTCTGCTTTGGAGCAGGGCTCATCCCCATGAGAGGCAGAAGCTTCGGGCTGTTCCTCATGTCCTTGGCAAGGAGTAGCCCCTAAGCCCACCAGGACTCCTGCCACTTCATCCAGGATTTTTCTCTCTTCTTACCACCACATGACATGGCATTTACTGGACTCTAAGCTCTGGGAAGGCAGGGCCTTTGCTTATTTCATTTGGGACTTTAAACAGTGCCGAGGAGAGGACCGTCTCTCAGTAAATAGTGGTTTAAAGACGAGCATGAAGTGGGTCCTTTCCC